GCTGGGGCTGGGGCCGGTGGGCAGCTGCTGCCTCCTCTCCGGCCCATCTATTTTTAATGAGCTCCCCAGGCTTCTGCAGTGGGCAGGACGCAGAAAGGCAGGCCCAGGCGGTGGAGGCCGCGGTGGAGGCCGGAGGCCCCAGCCCTGCCTTGAGCCCTGGCCCCCCCACCCTTCCGGGCATGAGAGGGCAGCCCTGGGGCCCCGCAGCCCCCCAGCCGGGCAGGGCTCTCCATGCAGCTGGTGCTGAGGATGGATTCAAGCCCAGACAATGACAGCTGGTTGGAGGACCAGTGGGAGCACTGGTAGGGGCTGTGGGAACCGGCGGGCCGGGAGGGAGGTGGGGGCTCCACGGAGCTCAGGGTCTCCGTTTGGTCTCTGTTTGGTCTGATGGCGGCGAGAGGCAGGAGGGGATGTGGGCCTCCAAGGTTTTTTTCCAGGGGGCCGAGCCCCGCCTCTCTTGGGTGACCTTGGACTTAGTGGGTCTTGCTTGCTCCGTGCCTCAATTTCCTGGTCTTATTTGGGGAAAGGCTCAGACATCCTCCCCAGCCTCCCAAATGTCCCACTCATGGCAGACCAGGCGGAGTGCCCAGGGCTAGGGCTGAGCAGGTGCAGGAGACAGGCAGGCGTTGCAGCAGCTGGGCCAGCCCTGCTCTCCGTGGTAGGGGCTCAGGACTGGCCTGGGGAGGGGGGTCCAGCGAAGCTGGCAAGGGTTCTGGTGCCCAAGTGCTCTGGGCTGTCTCCTGAGCTTACAACCCCTCTAGCCCCGACCTGGGGCTTTTTCTGACCCCAGCTGTGCAGCCTCCTGGCCAGGGTCCTTATGCTGGGCAAGGAGACGATCTTGTGGTTGAGGAGCTGAGGCCAAGATTGTGGCGTGAGGGCACTGTCTCTCCTGGAATGGGCCGAAACGACCCACGCTGATAGCAGATTTTCTTCACTTTTCCCTGGGCTCGAGAGGCATGGTCTTCCTGGGCTGGAGGCACTGAGCACTCCTCTGAGGCTGGTGGGGAGCTCTGCCCTCACCACTCCTCTGCCGGCACCTGGGGTAGGTCTTGGTAGTGCAGGAATTGCACAGGGCTCCTACTCCAGGCGTCCTCAGAGTCTCTTCCCATCTCTGCATTCTCCATGGGTGAACTGCCCTTGGCGCCTGCCTTGACCCCAGGAGGCATTTCTCTGGCAGAGCTGAGGCTCTGAGCAGTTGGGCCTTCCAGGCACTGCCTCTCCTGGTTGACAACCGGATGACAACTGCCAGCCGGGAGGAGCTGAAGTAACCTGGAGCCTCCCCTGCCTCTAACACCCTAGAACTGCCTTCTGGCACGAGCCCCACAGTTTCCCTGCCCGTTGGCTAGCCCCGGTGTTGGTGCAGATGGACCCCAAGTCCTGTCTTCTCAGGGTTGTGCTCTGCCTTCGGGAAGCTGTCCTTTGGGAGAGGTAACAGGGAGGCGTGAGTGGGCTTAGCAGTTGTAACCTTGGCTTCCTGTACCCACCAGGCTCACCCACGACATCAGCTTGGAGGAGTTTGAGGATGAAGACCTCTCGGAGATCACTGATGAGTGTGGCATCAGCCTGCAGTGCAAAGACACCCTGTCCTTACGGGTAAGGGAAGGCTCCCAGGAGCCCCCCCTGAGTGGGGTGGCGATCTGGGTAGGGACAGGTGGGAGGGCATCTCCGTATTTACAAAGAGGCTTTCAGGTCTGTGTGGCACCCTCATGGAATGGGATGATGTGTAGGAAACATCCAGAACACTACTTGTCTTAGGTGCACAGTCAGATTTTTACTTTTATTTTTGACAGGGACTGAAGCAGGAGGCAGCATCTTCAGCTGCCTCCCAGAAGAGAGCTCTCTAGGGCAGTAGCAGTTAGGGCCAGACTTGCAGGATGCTCGGGGCTACCCTAAATCCTTTCTGGAGTAGCCCTGGCAGAGGGCCTGAAGCAGAACAGGGTGGAGTCGGGTGGACCCTGCAGTGTCTGGGAGCAGGAAAAACGAGCCAAGGCGCTCCTGGAAAAACTCCCTTGGCTGGTGGCTGCCACTGCACCAGGCTGGATGGCACCACTCAGCCTCCCAGCCCCTTGCTGGTCCTTGTTCCTCAAGGCCCTCACGGAGGGGCTTACCCAGCAGTGCTGCCATTCTTGGCCCCTTGGCTTTGTCATAGGGAAGATGACTCCCCTTGGCTTTGTCATAGGGAAGATGACTCTCCTTTCCTTCGAGATCTGAATGTGCCAGGAGCAGCTGGGGAGCCTGGGTCAGATGGGGATCCCCACTGTGACTTTTCAGAACAGAAAGAAGCACCAGCTAGCCAGGAAATGGAAGGCACAGCAGAGGGCTAGGTGTCAAAATCCAGAGCTTCTCAGCCCCCAGGAGAGTGGGAAGTTAGATTCAGTATTGGGAGGGCAGTCGCCAAAGCAGAGCTACCGTGAGCTTAGGTTTGGGAGTGCCTGGTTCTGTCCCTGTGTCGACCTCCTGCTACCCCCAGAGATTCTGTGAGCTCTGCCAGGCAAGAGGAAGCCAGGGGGTGAAGATACCCCCCCCAGTTCCTCATACTCCAACCCTCCACCCTCTGGCCAGGAAGGGCTGGAGGCAGAGGCCGCGTCCTCTGGACTTGGGGAATGGTCCCAGCCCTGACAGCTTTCCTAAGGTCATGCCCCTGGTCTGGTTTCTCACACTGCCCTCACCCCCCACAAGCTCGAGCAGAGCCTTGGAGAGGGTGCCCCTCCACGAGCCAGATCTGTGTCCCTGTGGGAGCCTAGATAAGCCCCAGGGCTTCACACACACCTCCAGCGAGTCCCCACCTCTCTGGGAAGCTGGGTGGCTGGGGAGGGGCCCCGGGGTAGGGGATCTGTCCCAGCTGACGGAGTTCGCGGCGGAGTGAACCAGGACGGAGGCTGCACGTCCGGGCAGGGCTGGCGGGAGGAGGTCGCGGGCAGGGGGGAAGGCGCCTGGGCCCGCGGGCCGAGACGGGAGAGGCGGGGATGCCCCGGCGCCCCCCTTCGCCGCTCCCAGGTCCTCCCGCCCGCCCTGCGGCCCTCCGCGATGCCCCCTTGGTCGTG